TGAGTCAAACATGTCTCGGCCAATCAGATGACGGAAAACATAACAGGGCTGCGAGCTGGACAATCGGACGATTATTCAGATCAGAAATAAGCCAGAAAGACCATAATAATAAAAAGAAAACGCCTCAATCGAACGCTAAGGCAGACATCTTGGATTCCAGATGAGCAGAATTACAAAAGTCGATGCCCATGAGATAATCGTTTAAATTGTGGTTTGGAAAACACTTCACCAAAATGAAATATTTTGAAAATCTGGAGACTTTTTTTTCACGGCATACCTACATTTCTAATGATAAGCCCGCCGTTCAACCCTAAAGGGTCACATCATTTAATCACACAACATTTAAGAAGGTAGACCGGATCGAACAGGATTGTAAACCATGGCTAGCGAACATATCATTCACACGTACCACATGATTATTTAATTTATTAAGTCTTAAAAGTTTAACCTTGATTTCCCCAGTTGAGCCCATACCCTTTTGCCTAAAGTGAGAGCACTCCCTTCATTTGTACAACATTATTGCTTCCGAACAAATTTGGTTAATATCTTATCAGCCGTTCAAGAGAAGAAGAGTTTTAAAGAAAAAACGACAGACGCTGCACCGAAATTCACATCGTCTGAAAGTAACCTTGAGTATCTCCGTTTCTCTCTGCGTGACAGTGTACCAATTCAATGTAACACAAATACCTAAAAATCGACGACAAGTAACTTGAATTAACGCATTGTCGACCTGTTCCTTGTATTTATTGCTGGCAAATTTTTGGAAATTGTCTTAGCTGTTGCAAATACGTAAAACCTCACACAAACCAAACGGAATCTACTTTCATTCATACCTTAAACAGGAAGAAACCTGCTACTTATTTTACCCATAACCATGATGGCCAATAACAAACAAACAATAACTATTGACAATTTTGAATGAATTAGTGAAGATGTACAGCAAACCAACCAATCAAACTGAAGGATTTGATTCGTGATGAAAGGATCCGAAAACGTCACGAAGTTTGGAGATTTTTTTTTGCTAAAAAGTGATTGAAGGCGATACAGCAGACTTGGCCTTGACCTTTGACCCACAGAAAATAGGTATGTACCAATTACAAAGGGTTATAACACCATACAACTTCCTGGTATGGGGACAGAACCCATTGCCTTCCTTACCTTTGTAAATGTTCAACAGTAAAGCCAAAGGTAAGGTATTGCCAAGCAAGGTGCTATGAAACAAAATGTAGTCAGTCCTAGCGAAAAACAAAGATCCAGAATGTTGCAAAAAGTGCAACAGATTTAATATGGGCACTTTTGTATCCCTAATTAGAACCCACAGTTCTGCAGGGGTTCACAGTAGATAATGAGTGTATTCTTCTCAATTTCCGATCAGGGGGTGTTAGAAATATTTACTGTCTGTAATATGAATTGTCGTCCACCACATCATAATGACGTCCTCCTTAATCAATCTATGGTTTTAACAATAGTGTTAATCAAGATGTCCACAATTTTTTAAGTTTGAATTTGATGTCGACCTTCACCAAAGTCTAGCACTCATGCTTGACACAAATAGAAATGTGCTGAGCATCTGCTCCAGAAAACCAGACCGAATCACCACACTTTAACCCTTTCACCACTTTAGACCACAATGGACTCATCCAGATCAATGCATGGTAAAGTTTACTTAAGTATATAGGGGTGAAAGGGTTAATGATTGCAGTCCAAAAGAATCCTGCTGAAAATAAATCTCGATTTTCTGTCCAATGTTACCCATCATATATAACAAAGCATTCATATGTTTTAAAGAACAAAGTTTATTGTTATTTCTTTTAAACTCTCAAAAATATTGTTCATCCAAAATTCAACATGCTCTTTACAATACAAATAGGCTTCAGAAGTTCTCTAAAACCTCAAATATTACAAGATCATACATAAACACCCTAATTACATTTCAGTAATGAGGCAACATATCATTTATCACTCAATTATTTCGTGTATGCAAACTTTCTATATTTATTTTCATGATTTAACCTTGTTAGGAATAGTTATACAGTGAAAATAATTTCATTTTTGATTTCATAAGTCAATCTGTTTTCTAAAACTAAATTTCTAAACAGTAAAATATTAACACAGGAACAACAACAGGAAAAAGAAATTAAGTCGAGAAGGATAATCTCAATGTATCATTTGTGCCAAAGTTAAGCACGATGTACGTTTGACATTTATAGGTGTTTTTAAAAAAAACAAAAATACAATAATCGTTTTAAGAACGATTAATGACCAACAACAGAAATTGATGAAAACTGCTTAAATATTTGATTTGTTACAAAAGAATCACGTGTTTTAGGTTAGAATATTAACAATAATATCCTTTGATAACAAAAGAATTTTCTTCGACACACAAATATTATGACATGCATCTTCTATCCACAATGTTTTGGTTCGGAAATACTTGTGCTGAATAATTGAAAGGATGACGAATCTCTGAAGCTAATAATAAATAGTATGAAATTTCAATATTGCTAAAAATAAATAATTTTATCACAAATGCATATTCACATATTTTGGTTTATAAGCATAGGGGTGGTTTTGTATTTAAATAAGTCTAATATGATTTCATTACATTAATACAGGACATACATTTGTTTACGTCTTTCGTTCTTATATTTTCATTTATCAGGCGCAATCAACCACATCGCTGACTTTCAAAAGTCAACATCACACAAAAATAAAATTAAAAGACCGTGATATATAAAAGTACAAATAAATTAAAAATCACAAAGTTTTAAAATATTAAATATACTTAAATACCAACACCTAATGCATTCCGACTGTAATGGCTATTTCTGAATTGATTTTACAAGAGGAAAAAGTTTAAAAAATGTAATTCACACTTATTTATTTGATGACATATTTAAACTTTGAATATGTTATTACATATTTAAATTGTGGTCCAATATAATTATACTGGGATTCAAAAGGATCACACACAAACATGTCTTATGTTGGCAAATATTTAAAAAGAAAAATGATAGGACTGCAACGATATATCGTGATATTTTGAATACGGTACGATACACAAATATTTTTCACGTCACTATACACCTACGATATTTCACAGATTCTGACCTTTTGAATTTAGTCTACTCATATCTGTTCCAAAATGGCGAGTGACAGCTCCAGCTCAGCATGTACGTTGAAAGATGTAAATTGTTTGAAACTTTAAAGTCATGCCCATTTTGGATCAAGTCTATTTCCAGTTGTAATATTTTTATTAAAAAATTTGCAACATTTCTTTTCGCTTTGTTTCTACTGTTATTATATGTATGTATCGTGACCACAGTATCGTTGCAGACCTATCAACATATTACATTTATTTACTGTTAACTCATTCACCCCTAAAGACCTATTTGAATTCTTCCAATTCAAAGGTTGGAATAGTTCATTATGAAACTTCAGGGGTGAATGAGTTAAGCTGGATACTAATGAATCACAGAACGAGATGTTGGACCCAATAATACCTCAACATTTACTTGTAAGTGTCTGGATGAATATTCTGGTAGCAAGAGTTTTGTTCAAGGGTTCTTGGGTATACTTTCTCTCTCATATCATGAATTTAGAAATGGCCATAACTTGACTCTACTTCCTACATTACTGAAGTGTTTTATCTATTCTACCATGCAAAAAATAGGATAATTTATGTTTCTCTTGTTCATTTCATGTCAAGCTTAAAATCTACTCTAGACCAATTAACTGTTAAATCTACATTATTTTTATTTTATTTTAAAGAACACACATATTATCCATGCAACAAGCAACATTTGATGCCTTTTTTCAACCTTCTTTCCAAATATTCTTCATAAATTAATGCACAGACTCACCATTCCTGCTCACAGATACAAAGACCCAACAGACACACCGATACTCAACTCTCTTCAATGGATTCAATAAAAAAATATTTCTATACATGAACTATTTAATAACTATTTCATGTTCTTCCGAGACATCCAGAATAAACAACAAATGTGCATACTCCCTTTCGTACAAAACACACAGAATTCACAGATCATATAATACACTTAATTTACATATGCCTTACACAGCCGTGTCAGTAAACTTGAACTGCACAGAACCGTTTTGCAATGTTTAAAAAATTGTTATGAAACAAACAGGTAGGTTAATATATCAGTATTTATGGTTACAATTTTGTATGATACAAATAATTACATGTGATAATATATGTTGAGGAATATATCATCAGCAAGATGATCATGATCTATCACAAGACAAAAATGTACAAGGATATCACATCAAAATTTTGTAGTGACATTGCATTGCCTTGCATAACTATACTCTCACCATGATTCATTCTCCTGATCAGACAGTTTCTTAACTTCGCGGTAAAATCTCTAATGAATTACAGATATACAGGGAATGTTAGATACATAACCCAATGGATCGACTAGATTATTTTTTCATGCACAAGAGTGACTAGATGTTGATGAATTCTAAGGTATGTATACCTTATAAGTAAGAGCCAAGTAATTATAATTTATTTATTGAAAATTGAGCAATCAATGACTTTTCTACAATACCAAAAAAACACAAAAAACATAATTAAGAATAATGAAGTTTTGATGCTATATCAAGTATTAACTTGAGAAAATAATACCAATAGCTAAATACAATCATCGTCTTTCCTCACAACCTCTATAGCCAAGTTAATTGTGAGAGGCTACATTTTTATCACAACAAAGTTCTAAAATTCATTTTTTTTTTACCAAAATAACATGCTGAAAAAATACTATTTATCAATTGTACAAATACTAAGAAATGAAAATCAGTTATCATTAACGTATAATCTAGACACTTTGTTACCGACCATGAAGGAGTCCAAAAAATATTCTCGAGTCTGGTAATGAACTGTCGTGTACAATGGAGGATATCAATATGATCTTGTAAACTTGTTATGAACTTAGTTGTAAAAGGTCCAGTGTAGTAACAATGCCCGAGCTTGGTTATAGACCATCCTGTAGAATGGAGGATATTAACACCTTGTCCTGTAATGCATGTTCCAGTTCCTTTTCATTTAACTTCAATGAGACCTAAAAGATAAATAATATAAACTTTTTTAATTGAACATTCAAATCAACTTCAAACACACCATTTAATCTTTAGAACTCTGAAACCAAATATTATATAGTCGGTGGTAATGCTATATCATTTCATTCCCATATATGAATTCACATGAAAAGTCCTATTGTGTAAAAAGAAAACTTTGATAACTTTTCTTCATAGTTTAAACCTGGTTTTTTTTATGAATTGCATGTAACAGTCAAAACTGTTTAAACTTTAAGGAAACATCTACAATCAAACTTTTTTTCTGTATTTCAAGACTAGGACAGTAATCTATTGCAGATTTGACCTTGAGGCAAAGTCTGATTCGTTCCATAGAAATGAAAAAAATTGTTACATAAACTCAAAATGTTGGATGAAAGTGAAAATGAAAGATAAGTAGGGATGAGCCCTAAATCTATGACATGATGAGTGTACCTTTGCTAGTCGTCCCTCTTTAGGTTTTTTGATGCCTATAATGCCTCGTGTCTCTAGAAGACTGCACAGACCCTGGAACTCGTCATGTGTGGCCATCTGTCTCTTTTTACACACCTTTGTATAGGTGTCCTGTAGCTGTAGGAGGAAAGGAATATTTACTTAGGTTACTTTGGGACTAACAAACATCAGTACTCCTAGAGTAGGACGAAACAAACACATGTATTTAAGGTCACCGCACACTTACTGTGGAACAAAAACAAATATGCCAAGAAAATAGCAAGACCAATATAGACTTAATTTAGAGAAGGGGATTTGCAAGAGCAGACTTCTCTCGAGACAATTCTAAGGCCACTCGGGTAAAGGGAGCACGCTATTTATGTAAACACTTTTTTAAGTTTTGATTTCAGTGTTACCCTGCCATTCAAAGATGTACTTGTGTACAAAAATTATTTTAGGAATATGCCCCAGACAAAGTGATAAGTTCGACGAGATAAGAGTCAACATCACTTCAGGAATTCCTCTAGCACATGTACTTGCAGGCAAAATATGGAAGTAGTAGATGACATGCTACTGGAGAACTGCCCTGGTGATGTACAGAGCGCAAACCTATATCAATGATCCTTTTCAAAAGCACTGACAGGGGACTAATAAACTTAGCCTTAGCTAGGCTTTTGAGCAGGATTTGACTATGCCTTTTTAACAAAAGTAGGAAACCAAGGTTATTCTTGCAACTGTGTTTACCTGAAACTATCATAATTTTCAGAAAACTCTAAATGGTATGTAATTAAATGAAAATATACCAATACACTAACCTTTCCCATGGTAACTTCCTTCATACGGCCCTGCTTGACCATCAGCAGAAGAGTACACACCACCAGTTTCTGCTGTATGGGAATGCTATCTTGACTGGATGAAGTTGTACTGGACCCATACACTTCTGATAATACACTTGAGATCTGCATCACACCAATCTTCTTTGGAATGGCTGGTGGCCGTTTGGAAGGACTGTTCAATGCTGCAAACAAAACCATTCAAACATTAATCGTTTCATTTTCTGTAAAACAGCTTGAAACCCATAAAACTGGAAATGTTTATTGCATATTAAATTCTTTGGTAATAAGGGGAAACACATGACCTTGAATATTACAATTTTCAGTATTTTAACTGCACACAGCAAAATGACAGCTCGAGGTAGATGGATTTCGAAGATGAAGGGTGATTAAGTATTCTTAAGTGTTTTGTTTTTTTGCTTTTCCTAACATTGTTATTTCAAATGAACCTCTTTCTCATTGCTCCTTGACTTTCCAAGGAACCCAATTATAAAGGGAATTTCTACAGTGAATAGGCCAGTAAGCAAAATAAAGAAAACTTGAACAGAGGTGCTTGCACTGTATAAAGAAGGCAGTAAGGTATCCTACATTTTTTTAGAGTGTACCTGAAGCAGAAGTATACCTGGTAGTTGAGAAAGTGATACTTTATCAAAAAGATGAATTTTCTGGTACATACTTGTATTTGACTTGAGAACCTGCTGGCTGCGGACTTCTGTCTCGACCATCTCTACTGCCCTACGACACACGTCCAATGCCTTCCTCATGTCACCAGCTACGGCCGAGATCTTCCGCGCACAGAACTGTATGGCACTGTTCTCCATTACTGCCACTCCCTCACTCTCAAGCTGAAAACAGGCGACACAAAAATACGTTAATTTGCATATTTGAATAACTCCTTTCCCCACTGGCAGTCCATAACTAATTTGTATATTTAACCCTTTCACCCCTATGTAACTTTAGTAGACTGGACCATGCATTGATCTGAGCGAGTCCATTATGGTCTACAGTGGTGAAAGGGTTAAATAACTCCTTTTTCCCCTGCTGCCAGTCAACTACCAAGCTGTGACATTGACACACAAGCATTTGTTTTGGCGTGTTTTGTGAATGGGGCCAGGCCTTTTTTCATTCGTAAAATCAATACAATGAGGTAGAGTACTCAGTTAGGAAAACACCTGTCCATGCATCATATAGACTGTACACGTTGTACTGTATTTCCTGCACATATACATTTTCATTCTTAGAGTTCAATTACTTCTCATAGCAGCTTTATACAAGATGGCTAAACGCAGGATAGAAATATTTTTAAACTGCACACCGGCCCTTTTTTTTGCTGCTTTGATGAAAAAGGGCCAAAAGTCTAAAAACAAACAAGAAAACCAACAATATTTACCTTTGCAATTCTGTCCTTTAGAATCGCAGCAATTTGGTCCTTGCTATAAGGAGCGAAGTTGAGTAGCTTCGGTTTACACTTTGGCCTGGCTTGGAGTCGTGGGAGGATTCTGTCTGTGAGGTCCAAGGCATTGGCAATCCCTATTTATCAAGACATCATGTCATCAGCAATGATCAATTATACCGTTCTCATAAATAAACAAATACAAGTTACCTTCAATTCACATTATATTTGTTTGTTATTAAAGTTTACACTGCCGATCAAATAGTGACAATTCTAACTGCCTCCCTGCACCACCTCCTCCAAATATTTATCAACTTAATATCATTTCCCATTTTTTTTTTATTGTCAAGACAAATTTTAACTTCCTTTTGGCAGGAGTCTTCATCAGTGAACTTTCTCTCATGTTTCCATGGAATTTATAAACTTTTACATTATTTGTTTTGATTGCTGTTTTTTTATTCAAGTACTTTTTGAGGTCCCTAATCCTGTATATTAACATTTCTAGACATATTTCACCTAATAAGGGCAATGGAAAATGAAATGTGGAGTCTTTCATTAAGACACAATTCCTGTCCTACAACATAACTCATAATTGAACTTTATTCCATTCAAAAGTTGTATTTTTCATTAATAAAGAGATGAATCATTCTAAAATATTACATTAGTCACTGTACCATCAGATAATGATTTATTTTTTTGGTTTCGGACTTTGCTTTATCAAATCAAACAGGACGACTTTCTTGGTTTTATGAAATGTGTATTGCAAAGAATCCAGAAATTTATATTAAAGTTCTGTGTAATGTTTTAAAACCCTGTGAACACCCTCATTGGGTCAAATATGATGTTATTTCATTAACCCTGGATGTTTACATGAAAGTTAAATATTTGTGATCTACCTGTAATTTGTACATACCTATAAGTATCAGCCTTGATTTGGTCATTGATGGCCACTCAAAGATTGTGTATAGAATCTCTTGATTTTTACTATCCAGCTGGTCGATCTCGTCCAAAACCATGATTCTACAAAACAAAACAAATATAATGAAACAACAATAAACACTAACTAATCATTATATTATGTTTGTACGTTGCAGGTAGCAGTCATCCTTTAGATCAAGGAATTCGAAAGAAAGGAAGATGTTAATTCTCATTTAAACACAACCAACGACAATTTGAGTGGAAATTACAAATTATTGATTGCAACTGCATCACAATATTAAAACTATTTGTTCCGATAATTGATAGAAAAATGATTTATTTGGCTCATAAGCATATTACAGGTATTTAATATAGTCCATGAAAATATCTAAAAATAATTTCTATGAGACCAAATCTCAAATAAAGCAATGGATATATTCCAGCTATGACTTTTAGATGAAATGACTCTGAAATGGGAATTCCAAAACGGTGATGACAGACTATAGCAAGCTTACATGCTAGGCCCAGTAGAAGTCAGGTGTCTCTCTACGGCCCGGAGTCTATCCTTGGCAGATGGTGGAGATTTGCCTGTCAGGTCGGTGTACAGTTTACCATACACAGTGGCCGAGTCCTTCAGCGTCATACAATTAAGGTATACCGGCTTACAGCTGTGGGACGCCTGAACACAAACATGTTAGATTGGTATTTATTTCTTGTTAGATTTCATCAGATTTAAATATACAAATCGGTAAATAGAGATTTGATATAAATGCTAAGAGGATTTTTCACTGAAAATATTACAACTCATATATATAGGCAGACTGATTGTTGTCTACCTGATGGTTGACTCTGTCAACACTTATGAAAGCTTATAATAATTCTATTCTTTTTTTCATAAATAATTCTTCATTAGTAATTTATGAATTATGTTGTATTACATAATTTTCTTCATATTTATTGAAACTTGTAATTCCCTATCGGGCCAAGCACTTCGAAAAATTTCCTTTAAATTACTACAAAAATATAGGTGCCCACGTTGGGCTTCCAGAATTTTTCAAAACGGCATGTAGACTAATATTCTCAATAGGAAATTGTACACCCTGAATTGATCAGTATTATTCACTATGAATTCACACTTTTTTGTGAAATGTGAAATCATATAGCTGAGTGCAAATTACCATTATTTAATATATTTTAATTGTTTCTTTTGGAAAACAGAAATACTGTATACATCACAGTATTCTTATAATATATCTTACTGTAGAATCATTTGTTTTCGTGGGGTTAAAATTTCGTGGTTTTCGTATACTAGCCTGTTTCAAGGACATTAAATTTTGCTGTAAATCGTCTGATTTTCCCCTTTCTATATCATACCAAATTGATGTTTTCATGGGGATTTAATTTCGTGGATTTTTATTATCATCAAAATAAACGAAATTTAATGTCCCACAAAAATTTACGATTTTAGAGTAGTAATCGTAGGAGAGTTTGAAATACCAACCTGTACGTTATCGAGGATGTGTGTAAGAACGGCAGTCTTCCCAGTGCCTGGAGCACCAGATATGTAGATGCTACCAGCGGTTTTCTTAGACATGTGTCCTTTTACGAAGGCTGAAATTTCTTCCGTTTCTGTATCTCTCCCTACAAGTCTCTCGGGCTTAGCTGTATGGAAGGACTGCTTGGCTTTGTGATATAATTGTCCTGAAAATAGAAATTAGAAGCATTTTGTTTTATGATCCTATAGGTTTGTATCCACTTTTGACTCTCCAAAAACTTACATTGGCATAAACAACAGTTTTTCGGCTTAATAACGAGAACAAAATATGTTAAAAACTTACCATCCTGCTTTTTCAGCTTGAGAGATGGTGTGGATTTTCTGTGCGAATTTTCTTCAACCTTTTTCGGAGTAAGGGGCTTCACTTTCAATGGCGAGCTTAATTGGAGTTTTCTCCCTTTACTTGGAGTTGAACTAGATTTCCCCTTCAATGGTGAATTCAGAATATTTTGGACGTTGTCTTTCCTTGGGGTGAGGGGCGCGACTTTTACAGGCGAGCTGAGCCCCAAAGGCATAGAATCTCTCAAGGGTGAGCTTGGTCCGTCTGAAATTAAGGCGATTTTAATTGTTCAATATCAACAAGACTGATACATTTTAACATGTTTTAATATATGAATTGATTAATTTCCATTGTTATTCAAAAGAAGTGTTTTTAATTATATCTTGTATATCCCGAAGTTCATGTCATATATATATATATATAAAGTACCAACCACTGTTTCTGTTATTTCCATAAACTAGTTTAGCCTTGGACTTTCCCAGTGTTGGTGTTTCATCTTTTCGTGGTGTAGGACGATTTTCTTTCCGCATCTTACTTGGAGAAATCCCTGTTGGTTGTATATTTTCTTCATCTACAACAAAAGCATATGTATGATGCAGGGATAATCCTGGAAGGGGCAATGGGACCATCAACCCCTCCCTCTTACAATTTTCTTTAATTTTACATAGAAGGGTCCCTCTCAACATTGATATTTACTAAAACTGCAGAAATGGTCCACTGCTTTCAAATTCCAGGATTCCCCCGTGATGAAATAAAGAATGTTCAGCGTTTTCCAACATATTTTTGCATGAGCTTATCCCCATAAATTGGAATAAGAGATATTTTTTTTTATTTAAATAAAACTATTCTTTGCTAGGCAATAAAATAAAGCAACCCCCTCCCCACAATGTACAGTTTTAAGTATAATTATGCTGTCTTTAATATTGGATTATCAGGAAATTAACACATGGTATCAAAAACAAAATTCAAGATAAAAAAGACTAACCGTAAGGCATTGTACCCCCCCCCCCCCCCCCCCTAGTTATTGTAAATCATAAATTAAACCTAAAGCTATAAAAGCATTCAGGAGTTTCCAGATCAAGATAATGATTTATTGCCTGGCACATCTGAGGTTGGTTATCACCCTAACCAAACAGGTTTAACTGATAGCTTAAGAAACATCAGGCCCCGGGGCTATATTTTGCTATTATGTGAAGTTGAGCTGTTATTTTAGCCTAAGCTGTAATTTTCCCAGTTGTTTAGGCAGAAATTACCTAAAAATGTTAAAACAACATTATAGAGTTTCTTATAGAACTCCGGCTAAGGATGCTACTATCTATCACAATTTAGTTAAAACCTGTCAATAAGTTTAGGAAATATTGTCTAAATCAAATCAACCAATCTGACCCATATTATATTCAAGTTTTGGTCCATATATGCCCAGTTGTTTATGTGATGTCAATGAACTCATTCACCGCTGAAATTCCATAATGAACTTACCACTATTCCAACCTTTGAATTAGAAGAGTTCAAATGTGTATTCAGGGGTAAATGAGGCAGAGTTAATACAAATAATGACAGCACCCATTTGAGATTTATCAATAAGCAATGTTGTAGCCCCAATAGGCCACTTAAATACTTGAGAAATTATTTGCATGTATTTCAATGTTTCTATCATTACCATCATCACTGCCAATTCTCTTTCTTGGAGACTCAAGCTTTGGCTTAACAGACAGCTTCTGTCTGGGTCGCTGTGGAGAACAAAGTGATTGGCTTGGACATGGGGTCACATCCTTCTTTGCTTGCGATCTTGTTGATTTACGCACAGGGAACTCAAGTTTACGCTGAACCCTGGTCGACATCTTTAATAAATATTTTATTCTGGAACAAACAGCAGATTATTTAAAAAAACAACTTACAAGGAAAAGACATTAACACAATTCATAACAGATCCACATTATCTTTTACAATAAATGATAAAACCTCAAATAAAAAAAAAAAGGTTGAAAAAGTTATTTAAGAACGCATAATTGGAAGGTGATGAGAATGCTGATTTTCTCTAACACAAATGTAGATACAAAGGGGAAAATGTAGCAGTTTCCGCGGTCAATTCACTAAAGACACAAACTCAGCTTTTCGGAAAAAAATGTTGTTGGTGAAAAAGCGTTGAACTTAAGTGTGGTTTTTTTTATGAAATATGAAATTCCTAAAAAAACCCCCATCTTTCTGTGCACTTCGATTCTGAATACAATACAATCGTGGGAAATTGCAAGCATTTTTTAAATAATATGACCGGTGTTTGAAATCGGCCCTTGAATAATTTATTGGTTTACTTTAAAAGATGCTGTTTATGGAAACCCTATTCAGGAAACACACCGTTCAATACACTACTTATTGAAATAGTTTTTAGCTGAAAAATTATGCATTTGTCCTTCGTAATCTCTGGTCATATTCATAACGGGCACGTCATACTAATCTAGTCTTAGTGAGCCAAGGTGTGCGTCATCTAAGATCGATTATGTTGAAATTTCAGTTTCAATTAATAGACACAAATACAGTTAAATAATTTCACAACTTAATGTATACTGATCTTCATTGTCTGATGATTAGGTGCGGATCGTATGTTGGGTTATGTTACGCTTATTCACAACTTTCAAAACACGACACACAAAATATATTGAATAACATTATTTTGTGACATATTTACATGTCAAATGAATTAGAAAAGCTGTAGGTGAGACCGATTTGCAAAATGCATATTTGCAATTTGAAATCGGTTGACTATAACTCTACTTACTCAATAAAAAAAAATCCAACTTCGCCTCCTGCGATCAGCCTGTTGACAAAATGAAGAATGAACTTGGCGCGAACCTTTTCTTTCCCGCGATTTGATTGGTGGCGATTCACTGATCTCGAACAGCTCTCGCGAGACTCGTCTGTCTGTTCGTCAACTACACACAACGTTGGTTCGGTGTTTTTAGAAATCGGGAAACTGTTTCGCCAAAGATGCCGAGGTATTGAAAAGAAATTGTTTCTCGAAGTTCAGCAGAAGAGTGTCTTTTATGTTCAATATTCTGGTTACGGTCCAAGAAAATTATGACGTGATTAGATAATAGTATTATCGAATTCTCAACATTCTAGATTCGTTCTGAATGTTTTTTCCCTGCAACAGTGCGGCTACTGTACACTGTAGACCATATGTTACAAAGCGTTAACTTTGTTGTTGAATTAATGAACATTCATTTAATTTTCGAATTATATGTTATGTTTAAGTAATATCTAATAAGGGTTATGTACTAACATCATATAGGACAAATCTAATAAACTTGCCATGCTTGATTTAGGGTTAAAATTAATCATTGTGACTCCTCTAAATCTGAGTCTTCCAATTTCCATGGCTTTGATTTATTATCCGAGGTGAAAGCCACATACTTTAATTCAAGTCAATAAGGAAACATCAATTGAAAATTATGAATGATCATACGATATGACCAGTTTATGTTAAAGTTGTTGCTAGCAATATCAATATTAATACTGACAGAAATTCATGTTCTCATATTCTTCTTCCCAAATGGAGTGTACTCTTAGTAGAGTGTTGATACCCCTATCATATTCTCCGATACCTCAAACTCGATGTTCGACATTCACCAAAGACTTTCATAAGGAATAAGGATTTGCTAATAACGTTAACATTAAGTATTAAATAGGTGTACAGATTCAAGTTAATTGTGTCGCCCTAAATGCAGTTAGGCCTAGCGTAAATGCATATTTGTAGGTCAAAAATATTGGTTTGAATGATCATGAAAAAATATCTTATAAGTATTATTTTAAGAATCTATATCAAAGAAATGAAACTGACATCAAAAGACTAAGACTAAAGCCTAATGTATGTAACAGGAAAAACAGAAATGCAACAGCCAGATCAGGGTCTGAACAAGGTACCCTCCAAACTCTAGGTGGCCGCTCAACCGATTGAGCTACCTGATCACAGGCAATCATGAGAAAGAGAAATGCAACGGCCAGACCCAAGTTCGAACCCGAGACACGTTAAACTCGAGATGGACGCTCTAATTGAGCTATCTGGTCACCGACAATTGACCTAGTCCAGTTCCTTTACATATTTAACTCCTAATAATCTTTGAACCCAATTAAAAAAATAAATTAATTAATAAGTACACTTACTATGTTCTTGTCAACAACATCTTTACATAAGTGCTGAAAGTTAAGCAGTGACTTTTAGAGGTGTTATAATTTATTGCATTTTAAGATTTATCTGCGGTGATATTGATCGTTAAAAATACATTTTTCTGTATTGAAGAGAGTTTGATCAATCAGTGAATATCTCTCTATGAATATCTGTATTTGTCCTTATCAAGATGTCATTGCCGTAACAATAACTGATAGATAAACCTTAAATTCTTAAAAGACTTACCCGGTATTGTCATCATTCAGCTCCTTTTCTTCAGGTGCTGTACTTTCCTTATCAAAATTCCTGAAAATCTTAGCAATACATTGATATAATGGAAACACTTCTGAATGTATTTTTTTTATAAGTCTTGTGGTTAGTAATTATGTGTTATCGAAACAGAATGTAAGAGCTATAAAAAACATGGTTATTCATACTTTTTAACATGCTTGTTTAAATAACAAATGCAGTTTCCTTTCCCCTATTAAAAAAAATGCTTTAGTTGATTAAAAAATTTGATTAATCCAATCTTTTTGTGAAATTAAGTCAAATCAATCCATAAGCCCAGACTAATGACACTCCATGAGATTAAGTCATTTACCCCTGAAATTTCATAATGAACTTATCGAACCTTTGAATGAGTTAATAAGCAACCGGGGAAAAGTACCTCATGCCAACACAATACGTACTGTCATTTGGATGACAAGTCAATATATAAAATCATGGCTATTTTTGTTTCATTTTAGCAAAAGAAGTAGCAAGAGTATAACGCCAAGCAGTGGTAAGGGAAATAACTCTTCCAGTGATAGTGACAGCAGAGACAGTGGTAGCTCATCTAGTAGTGGCTCATCAAGCAGTAACAGTAGTCATAGTGACAGTGATTCAGACAGCCGCTCAAGGTCACCTCGAAGGGTCAAATCCAAATCAAGGTCTCCTCGTGTAAAGGAAAATGTTTCTAAACATGAAAAGGAAAAATCTTTTGTTAAAACAAGTTCTGGATCACCTAGAGATACGACAGGAAAGAAAAGGACCTCAAGGTCAAAATCTGGGTCGCCAAAAATCAGAACATTAGGAAAGAGGACTTCAAGGTCAAAATCTGGATCACCGCAGAACAGTAGGGAATCTAGGTCAAATTCTAGATCTTCTGTTATCAAAGAAAAAGGCACACCAGGTAAAAGGGAATCTTCTAGATCTAAATCAAGGTCCAAGTCTAAATCAAGATCTCGATCAAAGTCTGGATCTAAGTCTAAATCAAGGTCTAGATCAAAGTCTAAATCAAGGTCTAGATCAAAGTCTGGTCCCTGCCGTATCAGCTTAATTAGATCAAAGTCTAAATCAAGGTCTAGATCAAAGTCTGGATCAAGGTCTGGATCTAGGTCTAGATCAAAGTCTAAATCAAGGTCTGGATCTAGGTCTAGATTAAAGTCTGGATCTAAGTCTAAATCAAGGTCTGGATCTAGGTCTAGATCAAAGTCTGGATCTAAGTCTGGATCAAAGTCTGGATCGCCACAGAAGAAAGATGAAGTCACACAACAGGAAATAAACCGACCATCCAGCAGATCAAAATCAGCATCACCAGAAGTGGAAGATAAAGTAGAATTATCTCTCGACAGAGTGACATCTATCTCCCCACTTCGTGAAAAAGATGATGATGAACAGTCGAAATCAATGTCGCATTCCAGAGAGAAATCTAAATCTAGGTCTAATTCACCAGATGCTAGTAAGGCCAAGTCCAAATCTCCAGTACGCCGGTCCGGGTCTGTCACTCCTCCTCATCATGACATGAGTAACTTCCACAGTGAGCCAGAGAGTGGTGAGATCACAGACAGTGATGAGGAAGTTCCTGCTGTTCTCAGATCTGCTGTCGGGGTAGGTGTCACATTGTCTAGTGAAATCCGTCTTGTTCATAAGTTCACTGTTTATTTATGGACTCATTGAAAGTAATGGAAAAGTATCTCTTGTATAAATGTTGTCAAAACAGCAATGTTTGTATAAATGTTGTCAAAACAGCAATGTTTGTATAATGTTGTCAAAACAGCAATGTTTGTATAAATGGTCCAAATAGAAATGTTTGTATTAATGTAGTCCAAACAGAAATGTTTTAGTGAGGTGTTTTATCAAACAACAATACTTAAGATGAGTTGTCTTGTTTATTTGTACAAACACTATTCAAAGATGATTCCTAGAACAAATTGAAAAACAGGATTTAGCTCATCTGGCACAAATTAAAGTGCCTATGGGTTTATGTGACCTGGGATCTTTCTGTATACATAATTTTATGTGCTCAGGGTTCTCCCCAGGCCATTTAGCTGATAGGGCTCCGTGTCATCTTCAGTTCGATATCCTCCCTGCCGTATCAGCTTAATTGACCCATATCACCTTAGACTTTGAACCATTTCACCTTGTTATTTGTACTGAAGGTGGTCTTTTTACACAAGAAATGACACTGATTAAATCACAAGGCTGAGACACGTCCAGTAATTACCCCATTGGTCAGTTGCATGATAGGCGTATTGCCACAGGGGGCCTGTAACTAGTGGGAAGGGGGCCGAACAACAAGCCCACAGGTGTCCGGCAAGCGTGCTCACTGGAGCCTAAAGCAAGTACCACCAGATCCTTTTAGCATGGTCAATAGGTGATTAATTGAGGAAACTAGTGTTGGATTAACAAAACAAACACTTATTACATCCATTATAAATCAATTTACTCACATATGATTGCATTTGACAGCGCTGAAATAGCGTGTGTATTCAGTTAGTGATGGTCGCCATCTTGGATTGTGTAAAGTACAGACCGTAAAGCGAAATGAAAATCTGGATTTGTTGTTTTTTAGGAAGAAGGGCTCAAATAAAAATGCTTTTTTAATATTTAATCACATTTACTGACAGCAGTATTTAATGCAGTTTTGGAGGAAATAAAAACACTGTACACTTTATTAAAACATTTTCTCTTTCAATAATAATTTAAGAACTGTGATGTAAACTTTTTCATGTAAGTGTTTCCCCCTATAACACTAACCGCTTTTAAATATTTCTTCTTTAAATTATTTTTAATGGGGATAAAGTAAGGGATACAAATGTAAAGATAAGAGACAAATGTCATATCTATTATTCAATGTACAAAACTCATACACCTTTCTATCAATTGTATTTTTTTAGAATATTTAAAAACAAACAATAATATTGCTGAAAATTCAGACATAAGGAACACTTATTTATTTCTTTGATTTCAATGTTCATCAAAAGAAGTTTTGTAAATAAAAGTAACTATTTAAACATAATATTACCCCCCCCCCCTTTGATAGGGTATTATAAGGTATTATATTAGCGTGTCCGTCTTGAACATTCGTTGCAAATGAAACATATCAGCTTAAAAAAACTCTGGGGAGAACCCTGGTGCTCAGGCAGGGGTCGACCCTAACCCTAGTCCTGGTCTAGTATATTTCAGTGAGGACTAGTGAATCGCCTAACCTAACTGGTCCTTTGGACTTGTGAAAAATATGATTATAAAATAAGAATATTACTTTCTAAAATTTAGAAAACTGCTTGAAATAAGATCAATTGCATGATAATTGTCAAAATTTACCTAAAACTTTCCCGTATTTTTATGCCAAAAGATATTTTAAGTCCTCTACAATAGGTTAATTTTTATGTTTTGTGCTGTAGATCGCGATGTTTCCTTACCAGGAAATCTTGGACTAGTTACAATAACGAAGGACTATTAATACAATTTATTCAACTATAGTCTTGTGGACTACCAAACAAAAAAGTTAGTGTTTATCCCTGTGCTGAAAGGAAATTGGCTCAATAAGGTTACTATGTATTTACCGGTATATTATGTAGATCATCCAAATCACAATGATCAAATGTGTTTCTTCAGGAGAATCTCAAGCATTTTTAGGTCACCTGAGACAAAGTCTCAAGTGACCTATTGCGATCGCCTTTTGTCCGTCGTTGTCCGTCGTCCGTCGTGCGTCCGTAAACAATTTACATTTTCGACTTCTTCTCCAAAACCCCTGAACCAATTTCAATGAAATTTTGCAGGGACCTTCCATGGACAAAGGTCAACAAAAATAG